CAACCAGATCCAATACGTTATCGTGCATTCGATGATAGTCGATATTTATTTTTACTTAAAAATCGTCCATTACTTGATGAACTTCGTGAACAATTAAAACCATTAAATGCTTGTGTTAGTTTACAAACTGAAGGTATTTTAGAAATCGTGTTTAATGGTTCACGTTCAACAGCAAAACGTCGTTCACAATGGACAAAAGATGTCGGCCAATTAATTGAAAATCTTCTAATTGAACGTCTTATTATTCATAAAGTACCATGGAATAATAATAAAATACCAGCAATTGTTTCAGAACAACTTGCGGATCTTTCTTTAAAAGATAATACACGTCTTATGCAATTAGTTCCATCAGAATATCAACCAGATTATATTATTATAACAGCATTAAAAGAACATATTGATCGAGCTTTAAATGAACTTAATGATATACTCACAATACCAAATATAATTACTAATAATGTTATACCTCTAAATGATGCTATTTATCGTAGTAAACCAGTGAGTGCAATACGTGATCCAAAAGTAAATAATCATCGATCATCTTTATTAGTCGGTTCATCACCATCAAGACAAAGCACATATAATTCTGATTTACCACCATCATTATCAAAAATGACCATTGAAGATAATATGGATAATTTACGTTTATATCAACTTGATTTACTTTCAATGCGTTTTGTTGATTTAGCTCGACGAACATACATGGATTTAAATATTGATATTGATCGAACAGAACGGCGAGTTCATTTATGTGGTCCACCTGATCAAGTAAATGTTTGTAAAAATTATTTTGAATCTGTACTTAATGGTATGGTTCATAAACATTATAAAATAGGAAAAGAAATGGCAGTTTTTCTATCAAATCCCGATACTGGTAAAGAAAGACAATTTTACTTTTTAAGGACTGAATGAAAAAAATTTGTAGAAAAAATATTTGAATTATTTTTCGTGTATTAAAACACAATGGTAATTTATTAGAATCAGACTTTTTGTACTCTTTCAGAATATATGCTTAGAATTTTTCTGTGATTTTTGACTATTGAGCTATAAGTAAGTTTTGAAAAGATTCAACAAATTTTCTTTTTTGGAAGAAAAGTCCTCAAATGAAACTTGTTCGAGACATGCCACAAAACTTTATGAAATATAATGAAACATAGAAAATAATTCTCTACAAAGCAATAAATTTTTTGCAAACTGTTAACGTGCAGTCAAGATTTTTATAAAGTCTATCGTACGAAAAATGGCTATTTTCGCCTTTTCACTGCAAAATGACTTTCCGTCACACCTTTGCCTTTTTTTTTAGTGGATTCACCAAAACTTTTCATTTTTGCATCATTTTGTAGAACAGAGACTAATCATCCTAAAGTACTATATATTTATAGAACTTATTTTAGTGTCTACAAGAAGCAGACTTTTCTTTAGAAATGTTTTTTGAACTCTATCAAGATTTACTTATAGTTCAATAATCAAAATTTATAGAAAAAATTCTAAGCATATATTCTGAAAGAACATAAAATTCTGATTCTAATACATTACCAATGCATTTATATATATGAAAAATAGTTCAAATATTTTGTCTGAATTAATTTCCGTTCATCCTTACTTTTCAATTTGTCAAATAACAACACACAAAAAGAAAAATATTCTTTTTTTCTTTCTAGTCGAATTAATAATCGAAAATTTAATGCATAGAGATTATGTATGTGCTTATGAAATTGAACGTACAAGTCATAATCATCGACGAGATTCATTATCTCCAACACGAAATATCAGCAGTCTTGATACAACATCGATAACGAATGGTCATCATAAAATTGTTTTATATGGTTTAACACGTGAAAGTTGTGATCGTGTCTATGATATACTTCGTCATGATGTACGTGTCAGTTCAATAATGTTAGATAAAGATGATAAACGTTGTTTAACAAATGAATCATGGCATGCATATGTACGTGATCTATATTCAAGTTCAAGTGGTTTTCGACGTCGACGTGTACTTTTACAAGTAAAACAAAATCATTTAAAATTAGTTGGTTTTAAACAAGATGTTGATACAATGCGTAGACGTATTTATGATTATTTTGTTGAAAATTCGATTTCATTTTATGAATCTGATTGAACTATGTGAAAATCAAAACAACAGATGAAAAACAAAAAGAAAAATTTATCATCATTTGTTTTTTCTTTTTATTAATGTTGTTTTCTTAATTTTCTTTATCGTTTTTTTATTTCAATTGTAGAGTTAGAATAGTATTTGTTTATGTACGCTGTAATATCTAAATAATATTAACACGAAAAGAATAGAATCAAGATAAGTTATGATGGATCTTTTGTTTTTTTTTTCTTTTTAAGTTTCACTTTAATAATAAATTTTATGTTTAAAATAATTTCATGAAAAGGGCAAAATGTTTCTAATTTTTTTTTTTTTTGCTTAATATAAATATCAGCATAACTAAGGGTAAATCAATTAATAAGATTGCTGCAGTAGCTATCGTTTTCTTCTATTGACTTCGATCTCTGGATGGAAATAATTGGTTGATAACATTTCAAATTTTCATATTTATTTTAAACAATCGGAATACATTCATTTTTCAAATGAAGAAATTATGTTATGAAAAAAAGAAACGATAAATATACTTGATATTTGCTTGAATAAAATCAAAATATATTTGAAAAATCACCAAAAAAAAAAAACAAGATCTTAATATTTTTCATTTTTTTTCTTCAATATCATTCATAAGAGATTCAACATCTATTATTTCAAGTTTCTTTAGTGCACGTCGTTCAGTAATCATTTTTGATAATCCAAGAAAAACTACACTAAAGATAACCAATGCTGAACCAAGCAATGCAAATAAATTCGATCGTTTTACTGTAAAAACATTTTGAAGAATTAATGAAAAAATTATATCAGCTGAAGTAAGAAGTGTATATACAGCTGGATATTCACGTTTAATAGCTTTTTGTGTTAAAATACTTCCGATAATAAGAATAACACAAAGTATAGATGCTAATAAAAATCGCCATGATATAACATAATCAAATGTAAAACCACTATGAAGAAAAATTTTTTTGTATAATTGATAAATAATAAGAAAAATAAATACAGCTATACAATATTGAAGAGTGAGTATACTTGGTTTGATTGGTTTTGATGCTGAAATAAGTTGTTTAAATAATAGAACATTTGCTGCTGATAATAATGCACTGATAATTGATAGAGATAGACCAAGTAAACGAAGTTTATTATCAACAATAACAATTGAAGAAATTTTTGATGAAAATAAAAAACTTGGTTGACTAACAAAAATAACACCAAGTATAGTAAGAGGTAAAGCTAATAATGAACCTATTGATGGTCGTTCTCGATAAATAATAATACTAAAAACCACTGTCCAAACTACTCTTGTATAAAATAAAGTTGTTACATCGGATAATTCAACATAACGTACAGCAATATAATATGAGAAAAAACATCCAGCACCTGTTGTAGAACATAAAATTTGTAAAAATCTTTGAGTACTTGTACCAGAAATTAATGGATAACGTTTATATAATGCAAATACAAGTATGCTTGTTATATGAACAGTAAAACGTAAAAAGAATGCATCAACTAAATCAACACCTAATTGTTTTATTGAAAATGTTGTACCAACAGAAATCGATGATGCTGCTAATGTATAGATTATACCAGAAAACTGAGTAAACCAACTGATTTTTTTCAATGAACCTTCTTTGAAAGATATAAAATCATTAATACTTAATGTTGATACGGCTGGTTGCATAAAAACATATGGTTCATTAAGAGCATCATCATATACCGATTCATCTTCATTTTCTTCATAAACACCTTTGTCGTGCGGTACCATGATAGAATATTAATGGAAATATATTTTGTAATACCTCTGGTGTATTGAAATTTATCTATAAGTCAATAAAAACAAGCGATGTCAATTGTCATAATAGATTTGAGAAAAAAAAAATGAGATGAAGTGATTTATAACTTCCATTTTAATAGACGATCAAATGAGTGCAAATTGAGAACGAACTATACGAACAGAAAATGACTGTCATTAGTACAAAGAAACGACCAAGTTACGAAGTCTAATGACTCGAAAATATTGTATGACCCTTTGTCAGTAATATTATATCAGATTTTATATCTTTTTATCCTATGATTAGTTCTAAGTGATATTGACAACAGCAATCACCCATAGGGTGCATGCGTGATTTTTCGTGCACCTTTTTCAATTAAGAATAAAATGCTTTTTACAAATTTCTTTATGTTCTCTTTATATCAATCAGATCGGAGGTTATTATTTTCTAT